AGCCAAAGATGTTAGAATTGTGTCGATGTCCCAATATTTCTGGACCTGACTGTAATTCCAACATCACATTTTATTTCAGGAAAGGTCTTGAATAATCAGCTTCTTACAGGCCAAAATTATAAAAATTATAAAATTATAAAAAAATAAAAAATTGTTTAAAAAATTATAAAAGACCTTCCATTCGCTCTATAAAAAAAAAACATATTCTGAACTACATAATGTTTGAAACCTAAAATATTAAAAGACATATATTTCTTATACCTTCTCTTGAGTTTTGCTCCAAATACTGGAAGTGGTTTATATCCAATTTGTTTTCTAATTTTCTTCAAGTTGTCTTGATCTGCCAAGCCATATATAGCTGATTTCCAGGTTCCATCATGAATACAGGCACCCTGTTAAAACGCCATGGTAATTTGGAATGACTACATTGGAATGACATTCTGCTTTTGACACATCTACAGCATTAACCCAACCATGAAAACATGTATACAAGTAGTCCCCGGGTTAAGAACGTCTGAGTTATAGACAACCCATAGTTAAGAATGGAACCTACTGTAGCAAAATTCGAGTTAAATACACAATGATTTGAGTTAATTACACAATACTACTTATATAGTATTATACAGTAATACTGTTCTGGCTTACATACAAATTCAACTTAGGGACAGACCTTGGGAATGGAATTCATTCTGAAACTGGGGAGTACCTGTATAGCAATTACATATACCAAACCTGATTAAGATATTAATGTATATCAAAAAGTTATGTGCTTACAGTGTTGACCATTTATTTACCTCCTTTTTGCTCAACCATTTTGTTACAGAAGCAGGAGTGAGAAAGTGTCATATAATCCATAGTTTAGAGACACTGGCACTCCATTTATTTGGTGAGCAACAAGGTCACAAATTGAGAGAACTGAGGAAAACGCTATTAAAAATGTCTCTGAAAACTGCCTACAGTTTTCTTTCCTCCTCCTTTATGGGTAGGTGGAGAAATAATTTCTATTGAGGGATCTGTTTTCATGGATGGTGATGCAGTACAATTGCATTTGTTTCTATTGTTAACTATTTTATTTAGATAAATATTAAACGTTTTTCTGCCAATGTTAATATTTTATTTAATATTATCATAATAAATTTTAAGGAGCTGTTCATGTTGCTTAGACCCATTTGGAGTATAGCAGCAAATAAACAAACAAATGAATGTAAAATGGACCCATTATCATATGTCACCTTATGCATTTTCTGCTAAGGTGACATATAACGCTTAGCAGAAAATGCACAAACATTTACACATAATTATTGCATTATTGTGACTGTTTATTGCAACAATTAGATCAGAACAAGCATCAATGAATATTTTTTGCTACTTGGCAAGTTTGCAGATTGCTGGTACTGCTGTTGTTTTTATATATAATGTACTGTGAATGTTTCCGTGTTAGCAGCATTATGTATATCTTCCTGTGTACTTCTGAGTCTTATTAGATTGAGGCGCAAGGTAAATGGAATGAATAAATAAATAACAGCCAGCCAATAGTTAAAATATACTAATGGTCATGTTCAGTTTTATTATTTCATGCTGTAGTTTTATATAGCAGTTGCCTATGACAAACTTAGCGAAAGAAGAAATCAACCAACCTCTGGTCCAGATTTTGTAGTCAAGAAACTTTCAACTGCAGTTAAGGTACCTTTAAGGAAAGAAGTTAATAATTATTTGTGATAATAAAAAACAGTAGTTAATATTCTAAAAACTGTCAATTTACTCTTAATTTGTTAATATTTATTACTGTTAGATAAATAACATCCAGTACTGGTAACACAAATATGTACTTTTTTTTCACATTCAACAACATGATATCCAATTTACTTGAGGCACATGAGCTATTCCACACAGAGAAAGGAAGGAAACGTGTTCATCATTTCACTTGTTTCCTTCAGTACTGAAACCAGGCTTTAAATCTCCACGTGACACACTAAAATACACAACTTCAGTTGCAGTCCTCCAAGATTGATGGGGTTGCAAATCAGATTTACTTCAGGGTTCTTACCCACGAGTGGAGAAGTCTTAAAAGGGTATAATAGACCCTGCTCTCCCTTGAACAGCTCACTGAAATAGTCAAGGAAATAGAAAGTGTGATCTTTCCAGAACACTACTTGGTTCTTATTCTAGCCAATCAAGGAACACAAGATCTGTGTTTGTGCTGTTTCCCTATGCACTGGGAAGCCTGGAAATTGGATAGGGGAGTGTGGCCCTGATACTTCTCTCAGCAGCTTTCAAGACTACTAACCATGGCATCCTTTCAGACCTCCTGGTGAAACTGAGTCTATGCAATACTGTTTTTACAGTAGTTGCAGTCCTTCCTGTTTTTATTATTCTTCAATACCTAGGCCACTGACCTGTGTTGTCCAGCAGGGTTTTTTACATATTGTACCCCATGTTGTTCAACGCTGATGTGAAATTGAGGGAGATCATCCAAAGTTTTGAAGCTCTATTGCTTTTAACCATCAATTTTAAGGAAGAATTGGTACCCTTGAACAATGTCTAAGTTTGATAATTGAATGGATGAGGAAAAACAAATTGAAAATGAATCCAATCAAGACAGAACTGCTATTGGAAACAGGAACCTGGATTGGGACCTGAGGCACAACCTATTCTGGATAGGATTCCATTCCCCCAAAAACAGGTTCATAGTTTAGGAGTGTTCTTTGATCTTCCAGTGTCACTGGACTTGCCGACAGCTGGAGTGAGGAGTCACTTTGCACAATTGTGCCTAATGTGCCAGTTGATATCCTTCCTGAGCTGGACAGATTTGATGATTATCCACATCTTGATTATACCCTATCTTGAGGATTATAACATAGTTTATCTGAATCTCTTCTTGAGAATTGTGCTGAAATTGCAACTGATTCAAAAAGTGGTAAGACACCTGCTAACCTGTGCAAGGTAGAGGAACCAAATGATGACTGTATTTAGGAACAATACGGTTCTGCCAATTACGAACCAAGTACAATTGAAGGTATTGGCACCTAAATCAGTCCTAGGGCCTATATGTATGCAACTACCTCCTTTTATGAAATTGTCCAGCTGTTAAAGACTTTTCCTACAGATCTTTTGAAGCTATCTCCACTGTTAGAGGCCAATCTTTCTGACTTTCTGCATGTAGCCCCCAGTCTATGGTATGTACTCCTTCAGTTTGGCCCTATTCTCTCAATATTTAGAAAATCTGTAAATAAATATCTTCTTTACCAGGAGTTTAATCATTGTCTATTTTAATGTTAATTTTGTTAGCTATCTCAAGCACTTGTCAGAATAAAAAGCAGAATACAAATGAAATAAGTAAATCTCTTTAAGCAGTGTTTAGGATGAATGAAACATAATGCGGTACATTTAAAACAGTGTAATTACTGTAAAAGAAATTAGAAACAGAGGCATTGACTTGCTGAAAGATTTTTGGGGGTCCCTCCCTCAATTGTCATTTCACAGCAGTTATTCTGCTAGGCTTCAAAAAGAGACATGTGGGAAGCAGGGCTGTCAGATCTTCTGAAACACTAGCTCCATCAGTCATTTCCTCCCTCTGAACTGTTATTATCCCATTTTTATAATTATTTCAAAACTGATGCCTTTTTTTCTGCTCTCTTCCCTTGTTCTTTTTTGAGTTATGTGGCTTTGATAGTAAGCATGCAGGGTAGGGACTGTTTTGTTTTTATTTGACCAGTGCAAACTTATCTAAAAGACTGTGAGCTAAAGAGGTGGAGGAGGGTGGGAAATGCTTTAAATAATTAACGAATAGATTATTTTTAGTAATATGTGGTCATGCCAAGAATTACAGAAGAAACAGAATACAGGTTATCATTTTGCCCTTACTATTCTAATATCTTTAAACATACAAATAAGGTAGCTACTGTACTTCCCCTAGCACTTATCAAAATAACAATCAAGCATACAAATCACCTTTTAAACTGTTTTTGGTGAATAATACTCCCATATCTGCTGGAATAGAATCAAAACCACAGCTTCCAATAATATATACTCCTTTTTCTTCAGCTTTGTTATTATAATTCAGATACATTCCTTCCAGAAACTGAAACAGAAATGAAGTATTATATAAAGATGCAAACAATACACTCTTAACACTCAAGGAAAAATGACAAATTTCTTAACTTTATTTTTTTAAACTGTTTTACTGGCTGTTGTGCCATCCTGCAATGTTACAAATGTTTATTCTATATATCAAACCATCAAAACAATTCAGTATTTTACCCCGGTTATATTTAATATTGGTTATATTTAATATCCAACACAATTTTATAGAATTTTGCAAGGGTACACTATTTCTTTCATCTAAAAGAGCTAGTACAGTGTAGTGGTTAAAAAGCTGGACTGGGACTAAGAAAACCCAGGTGCAACCCACTCACCATCTCTCAGCCCAACCTACCTCACAAAATGGTGACAAGAGTATGAAGGAAAGCCCCAATTATGTATCTTCTTTGACTCCCAGAGGAAAGGCAGGATAAAAAATTAATAATAAATGAAAATACTTTTACTATCCTGAACACAGCTCCTTCCTACCAGTCCACTCACAATGCTAATTTATGGCAATGAAAGATGAGTGAGAAGACACTTCTGGAGTAGGGAGGAAACCACACAAACCCAAAAAACCCCATCCATGGCATGTAGAGCAGCACCACAAAGTTTGATATGTGAAGTAAATAATTATTCTCACATTAAGCTGAAATATGCAAGTAAAAAGAGTTAGGACTGTGTTCTCAGTGACTTAATCCAAATATTGTTCCCCAAAGTCTGGTTTGTTTTCTTAATTCTACATACCTGCGGTTCTCCACTAATGTCGATACAGCTTGTGCCATTCTCAGTACAAGCTTTTATCACAGGCTCTCCAAAAAAACGGTACTGTAAGAATGAAAAAATGGACTAATAGGTTATATTAATCTGGGCTGGTTTGAAGTTTTGCTTCCATTTAAAAAAATAAGATTATTACAGAATAAAGGAATCTTAGCTGATTTATGATTTAGCTATGATTGAGCTAATAGAGAAATTAAACCCAATGTGAATAAAATGTTTTGGGTTTGTTAAACTTCTTTTAGTTATATCTGAATATATCATTGTTTTAAAATATGTTTTTCCCAACTCCTTGCTCAATTCTTTCTCTCATGGGATGGATTTCAGAAGTGCTTGTATTAAACACAGTTTACTTCTTGTTTTGAAAAAAAATTGCATTAACAAAAGAATAATGTCCTGCTGTCTGGGATATGGTCCCAGGGATCATAGGAAATACTGGTTCTCCTTAGGATATCAGATAAGGGGAATATGACATTGGATGCCCCTTCCTTCTTTTACTCTTTCTGGGTTTAGAAAATCCCAGTCCTGGGAAGCTTAAGAAAGGAGCCTGCCAGGGCTGGAAGGACTCAGGCTTAGTTGGGTTTTGGACCCTCCTCAGCTAAATTCCCAAACAGGAATGAAAGTTAGGCCTTCTGTATACAATAGAGAAAAACTGCATAAAGAAAAAACAAAAATACAGGGAGAATATGGAGAGATGGCAATGGAAGTAAAAGAGCTCTAACACACAATTAGGATTCTCTTAAAATCAGTTAAAGTGTGTGGTCCAAAAAACTGACATTTTAAGGTTCAGAGTATTTTGGTTAAAAGTATTTTCTTTTTAATAGACTCCCTAGTAATGTCCTGTAATAAAACATGGACACCTTTTCCTATTGTAGAGCTGTGTGTTCTGATTATCAATTTATTTCTAATAAATTATGACACGTAGTTCTGAACACCTTCTACTGACTATGCAATATGATCAAATGGATTGTCATTCTCCAATCATTCTGGGTTGCTTGCACTCCTCCAAAACATGTTCCAGAGGGTCAGGAGATTCTCCAGCATTTATCAGAAAAGATGTAAGGAGAAAAAGAGCAGAAAAATTCAGAGGTGTTATCTAAATTAAGCAAAAATAAGTTCCAGGGATAATTGTCACGTTAGTCCTTGCACCATGAAAGAGGGGAAGATCCAGGCTATAATCAGCAGGGACAAAAAAGTTACTCTCTTATTCTTATTGCACTACCTATTGTTTGTTTGTTGTTAGTCTTCTGGGTTTTTTCCTTCTTTTTTATTTATTGTGTGTTTATGTTGTACACTACCCAGAGTCACACAGTCTGAGTTGGTGGCCTTATAAATCTTAAATGAAATGAAATGAAAAATAAGCCACACTTCCTTCAAACAGGGAAATGTCAGCATATTTACAATGTTTAGGTGTTGTAATAACTGTAAATTATTACATCATGAGGAGGCTTATTTCATTGGCTTTTTCAGATAGGAAAGTCTGAGCAGCTAGGAAAGCAAAAGACTTGTATACAAGAAAATGCTACCAGCAATAGTAACACCTTCCACCATCTCAAACAACACAAAAGAGATTTTTTTTAAAAATTCTCAAGCAAATGGGGCATTAGGTAGAAAAACAGAAGTCACTTTAGAAGAAAACTTCTGAAAAACTGTTACACTGCTATTCCAATAGCACATAGTATTAGACCCTGCTTGCTCATATTCACAGGCTAGTTCTTATTCAAATAGCCAAGAAAATCTGTCCAATATGAATGATACCATTTGGGTATGAAGGGGACTCAGCATGGAAGAAGTCTTGGAAATGAATGGGCATGTATGGTTTTCATCGGCTTCCAAGGGGTGTCCTGATAAAAAATATTTTCCTTATGTCATCACAACACATAAAAAAGCAATTTAATATTAAAAAAGTAGGAGGAATTGTATTAGCTATCCCTTTTCATGCAAAGTTGGTTTTTCCTGCTTTGTGTTTGGTAGAAAAGCATATAAAAGCATACAAAGTTACATTAACATATCTGATACCTAATTTAAAGGGTATCCAGTCACATGGGCATGGGCTTTGTGCAATAATGATTATAAGAAACAACTGTGGTAACATATCACTTTTGCATCCCAAACATCTTTTCCAATAAAAGGTATATAGAATCCTTGCAGCTCTTAGCATATACAGTGCTAATTCAGTGAATTTCCAAGGAATATATGAGTTGGTGAAATTTAATAGGAATATCTCAGGTTGAAATGGAATTACAACCTTTAAAAACCATTCCATGCTACTGTAAATCATTTTCCAGCATTTTGGGGCTTTACAACATTGCCACCATATATGAGAAAAAGGATCCAATCCATTCATTCATTTCCAGCATTTTTTAAGAATGAACTTTCATTTTGGCAATCAAAGATGGAGTAATATACCAATGATAAAATATTATCCAGCCTAGCGTTTCTATAGTATATAGCCTCAAAATTTTTTCATTTCTCTTGATAATTTCCTAGTTTGCAAATATGAAATCCAGAATTGAGATACTTTCTCTAGATTTGACCTGTATCAATACTTAAAACAAATTTAATACAATATTTCAATAACTTATATTTGCTGAAAAAAACTTATATTTTCTTGTACAAAATAAGGTATATCAAACTATTTTAATGTTAACAGCTTAATAACTTCCATTTGTTTCTGGCACCAAGTGCAACACAAGTCTTTTTTTAAATTTGACCAACACTATAGAAGAGTGATTAATAAAAATTAACACTATGAGTTTCAGCTTACAAGTGTTAGAAAATAGGATATTCTCTTTACCTTGCATTTAATTAGGAAGCATTTTGTTTTAACAAATAAAAATCTTCCTAAAGAACTAACAAAAAATTTGTTATTCCAAAATATAAAAGTCAAATAGATTTCTGGCAATATCTTACGAAAATGTCATGTTTTAAATAATTATTGCAGGACAAGCACCTTTTATTTATTCATGAAAAAACAAAAACGAGAGGAAAGCACTTACTGGGCCTACACAGTTTAGAACAATACCCGTTTGTTTAGCCATTGAAGCAAGAGAAGATGGATCACTGACATCACATAGTATTATGCCAACTTCTGACTTCAGTTCTGTTTTCCCTGAAAATTTAAAATTGACATGTTATTCTGAAATCATCTCTATAATTATTTTTATTCAGTCCACCATTATTCATGAGATTAAAGCCATTTTACAATATTTAGTTTTCCAATTGCTTTTAATAAACAAATTATATTACTTCTATATAAATTCCATCATTATCCCCCAAATATGCATGTGGGAAGAAAGTCACTTGTTACAAAAGCTCACTAGAAAAAAATAAAAAATAATTAAATATTATTTAAAAGAGATACAATGCAGAAGGACAAAAATGCAAAACTGTTTCTTTTGATTGAACAAATCTAGTTTTGGAAACAAGCTCAAAGTTTGCCATTTTGGAACTTAAAAACCTCAACATTTTCTGCACTTTTTTTTTTT